GCTTCTTAAATAGTTTTAAGGTTTGTGAATTGAAGAAAAGCTCAATTTTGATGGTGAGACTGAAGAACATGTTTAACTTCGACAATTAAACATGTTAAACTGAGATCTAGTTGGTACTTTAATGTACTGATTCTAAAATGAATGAAATGAAATAGTTATTTTTTTTCTTCTTCTGGGGCTAAAGAATGTAATAAATACTCCTCCGGTCCTAATTATAAGACCCAATTGATTTATTTGAGGAGATTAAGGAAGTAAGTTAAGTTGGTTATTTATAATAAATAAGTGTTGTTATTCCTAAATATCCTTGCTAATTAAGTATATTGGCTAAAACTATCATTATTAGAAGGATTATCTTAGAAAACAATGCATAAATATAAGAAAGAAAATGGATTGGGTCTTATAATTAGGACCAAATAAAAAGTCAAATTGGGTCTTATAATAAGGACCGGAGGAGTAATTAGCTTACCGATTGCTGCAAGAAAGCCGAAAATACAAACTGTCATATTCATTTATCTTATACTACTCCGGTTCTTAATATAAAGTCTTGTTTGATTTTTATATTGGTCTTAAATATAAGACCCCAATCTATTTTTTCTCTCATATTTACTTAATTTTTTTAAGATAGTCCTTCTAATAATTATAGTTTTAGCTAATATACTTGATTAGTAAGAATATTTTAGGAAAGACAATAAATATTTATTACAAATAACTAATTTAACTTCTTTTCTTAATTTCCTCAAATTAATCAATTGGCTCTTATAATTAGGATCGAAGGTAGTATTTGACATGTTTGTGCATTTCAAATGAGAATTATTGATTGTAGTTTTGATCTAATTATAAAATGTATTTCCCAATTTTTGTAAAAAAGAGTTCATTCACAGCTTGTGAAAAGACCAATTCATCATGTATTTTTTACATCATTAATTCTCATGCCGGTAGTACTCTCGCTTCGCTTAGCTATGTTAGCTACAATTTTAGGAATTGAATTCTCTTTTTTTTTTGTGAGAGTGTCCAATCCTTTTTAATCGCTAAACCCACAGTACAATAGGTAATTCATCATATATTTTTAAATACATAAAAAATTTCTAAACAAAATTAAAATCATAATTTTCGAGCAAACAATTTGGCTAGTTCTACCCCTCAATTTCCCTAAACTAGACTTTTGGATTTTTCAACCAATTAATTTAACTTTTTGAATATTATTGAAGAAGTATTAACATTCTTTTTGGGAGTCTTGGAGGGGGGGAAGGAATAAGTTATTTTTTGACATACTTTCTATATACATAGAACATACACATTCTTTATTCATCTAGAAAGAGTATATCTCCAGGCACCTAGACAGATAAATATGTATGATGATCTTCTATTGAGAAATATGTACGTTGACCCATGTTCATAGATAATCATACAAATTAATCATGTGTCACAAACCATATCTGAATTGGTGACATGAGAATTTTCAATCCTGTGCTCTACTAGTTGAGCTATCCCGACCATTCACGATGCATTATCCTCATTTTAAGAGATTATTTAAGTATATATCAACTAAAAAAACAATTTAAAAAGTTTGATCCAAGCCCTATAATTTCTTCGATCTTCCAAAATAAAACTTTGTTTAGTTTCATTCAAAGTAATGATATGTGTTGTTAATCAGTTAAATGAGGATAAGTTGCTCCAGCAGCAATGCCAGCCATTATGTTTAGATGAAATCCTAGGTTATATTTGTGTACGTATGTAGGTTTAAAGTTTAAACTATGTAAAATTAAAAAAAAATCATGATCTTGAATATATATATATATATATATATATATAATGTAATTGGAGAAAACTTCTTACCCATTTGACATTTCATAGGATTATGTTCCTTATTTTTGGGAAATTATATGCATGATTTTCTGACACTATAATAGTTAGTCAAATATAAGATTTTATATTTAATGGTAATAAATTAATTAGCACAATTTAATAAATCATTCTAAATATATAAGTTTCTGAGACGGTAATTATGCATTCCTTGAATTTTTTTTTCCGGTGAAGTTCTTGATTCTTTTTTAATTAGACCGTCACGTCAAGTTAATATCAATGTTTAGAATATTGTAATAAAGTAATATATATATATATATAATGAGCTTTATATTATCCACAAGTTATAAATAATGTGATTCATTTTTATATTTTATATAGAGCCAGAGAAAATACAAAGAATTTAAATACATGCATATTCTTTTATGTTGCTTATAAATTAGGTTGAGTTTAGAATCCAAGGAGTTTTAAAATAAAAAATTATTGACCAATAAAAAAATAAATTGAGGTATTTAGCAAAGCTGTTAGATTCGGAGCATTTATTAGTGATGAAGTTTAGGACCGTATCAAGAATAATTCATTCATGCAAGTAAGATTTGAAGAATTTACTATAGTTAATTATTAATTTGAATATGACTTAAGAATATAGAGTTGTTGTTGTTGTTATGTTTAATATTCTTTTCTCATTATTTGGCGATGCCTTTCTGCGAGGAAGAAAGGATTATTATACGTAGCACTTCTTCGGTCTTTAATATAAAACCTATTTAATTAACTTGATTAGATTAAGAAAGTTAGGTAAATTAGTTAATTATAAAAAATGTAATATGTTTTCCCTAAGACACCATAATCATCTTTCTTAATACCATATCTCCCGCTTCTACTTGATTATGATTGAAGAAATATCTATAGAGGTATTTTAGAGAAAATTGATAAATATAAGAAATAGGTTTTATATTTAAGATAAAAACTAACTCAACAATTGGGTCCTATATTTAGGACCGGAGGAGTATTAAACTTCTTTTCTTTCTGTGTGAATATTAATTATTATTTCTTAAAAATTATGCAGTTAGTTCACTTTATCCTATAATTATTTATTCTTTTTTCTTACAACTTAATCCATATGAATACTTCCTAATCATCTCATACTTTGAAGCCTGAAAATATGTGGTTCAATAGTTCCCAATATACTTTGGAGGGACTCTTTTCCCCACAAAACATAAATTTGGTTCAGAAGACACTAAAAGTTGGCTAAAAATATATTCTTTTCGGTTCTAAATATAAAATTTAGTGAAATGATTTTTTTTTCTGGACTTAAATATTTGTTAATCTCCCAAAATTATAATTTTTTTTAATAAAACTCTGCTTATTTAATTGTACCTATCAAGAAAGTTTTTCATGAAGAGAGTAATTTTCAATATAAATGAAAAATAATATTTTAAAAAATAACATATTTTAATGAGATTTTTTTACATTTAAATAAAAAATAATATGTTAAATATTTGTGCTGCATGGTTACAATTATTCCTAGCATTTTATGTGATTTTTTTTTACACAGGTATTTTTTTATTAGAGATAATCATGCGAGAAGAAGCATAGTTAAAAATTTAAGCACCATGTGGTACTAAATGTGATGTTTTACCTAGTAATGACTTATTTTCTAAGAAAATGTATTAATTAAGGGTATTTTAATGAAAAAAATATTTAATACGAGATAAATGGATGTAGTTTTATGAAATTCAAAAGGACCCATTGTTCAGGATAAGAGGGAGTTATTTATAGCGACGTTTAAAATCTTACCAATAAAATTATCTTTTAAAAAACATAATTTATCTTTTTCTGTTTAAGAGCGGCGCCGGCTGCTTACCTGAATTCTCATTTAATAGAATTCTCTGGTGAAAAAAATAAAAAAGCTTTGTATAATTCTCATTCTAAATCTAAATAAAATAAATGTGGCCCCAAAAAAGAATAAATAAAATAAATATGACATATGTAGACCCAGATAAAAGTAAAAATTGGGACTGTTTTTTAAGTGTGTGATGGGGACCCTTTTTTTCTCTGGAAAAAAATTATTTGTGCTTTTGATAATTCATGGTTTAAAAAAATGTAATTTAAATCTCAGTCCTCATATACTGGAAATTTTTAAAAAGGTTAAGATGTAAATTTACTCTGAAAAGTTTTACTCAGCAACACTAAGCACTCAAAAATTTATTTAGGTACAAATTTGCTTGAAAATTTATAATCTTAGCAATTTACTATTTTGACCATCAACATTATATTTTTTTTAATAGCAAGACACAAAATCATCACAATTTTAAATTTCTTAGTAAATTTGCACCTTAATCCTTTCTTAATTAATAAGAAGAAATTAATTACTTGTTATTGAATATTTTCATACAAGTTATTAAATATTGAAAAACAAAGAGCAACAAAGTTGTTATCTTTCATTTTCTCATTCCTTTACCTTCCCTTCAGTCTTGTTGACTCCACCTACAACTCCAAGCAATGCCAAAAAGAAAGCCTCTAATGCTTTTAGAGGGAGGGGAAAAAAGGAGCAAAATACTTACAAATTAATTATCAATAAGACTTTACACTAAAGACAGAATTCCCTCTTTTTTTGCCCCAGACACATTAAAGACAGAATTCAAACCTACTTTCTCGTGATCGTCAAAGACAAACAGTAGGCTTTTTGACAATAATGTGTCAAATATTTACCAATTGAATTAACAACCATAATTATCAAAAAGCCTATAATACATAATCATTACCGTTGTGCGCTATTGAGACTTCTTATAACAAAATCTGAAATTTGAATTGCACCACACTTGAGAAGCTAACAACTACAAGTGAGCTCAAACTCAAAGCTTTGATCTTTCACCATCTTCAAACATCACTACTTCCTTCGTGGTTAAAGAAACGTTCAAAGCTTTGATCTTTCACCATCTTCCAAATGTCTTGATCCTCTTTCATCCGAGACATAAACAATAGTTTTGTTGGGTTTAAGCAGTAATAATAAAGTTCGTTAGATAAAATAGAAGCAAAGCAAATTTCTCAACAATATTGCGTATAGTAGTTATTAATAGAAAGAAGCAAGACCATAGGCCTTTGCTTATTCCTTTCGCTCAAGTGACTGCAAAGCATAGGGTACTGCAACTAATCCAAGGATGAAGAATCAACATATTCATGTGGCTGCTTAGAAGTTTAACATCAAACACAAAAGTAGGGATATTTCATGGAACCACAGGTGGTAGGTTACAAGCTTGCAAGAGTTCCAAACACAAACTTTGTTAAAGCAGTCTCGTGTAAGTAACAGCAATTTTAAGATACACAACAAAGCAGTGATGCTAAAGTTCTTGAGTGTTTTTTAGCAGAGTCTAGGATCATAAAACACCATTCCTGTGACAACTTAAAACAAAAGTAGTAGTAAAAGTGATGAAGCCAAGGATGATTTGCCTGCCCCGTGGAGAGTAGATATTGTTCATTAATCAACTCTCACCGGACGATTGGTGCACGTTGCTGGGTCCCACCAAAGGTGAGTCCACCGCTAAACTGTGATGCACTGCCCATGTTTGTAGAGTTCCCCAAGAATTTGCACTCTGGTTGCCTAAAATTCACATTGTTACTGGACCCACTTGTCATGTCAGAGCAGGTCGAGATAGAAGATGCATTTTCACCAGTGCCGGTTCTTAAGGGACGAATCTCCACCTCTGATATGTCTTTCTTTTGATACAAGTTGACAGAGTCTGAACCAGAATTGGCACTAGTCACAACTTGTACATTGGACTGTTGAAGCTGTCTGGTGCTGAGGAAGCGTCCTCCAGATCCCCTAACCCTGTTCAGAGCATGGCGATGCCGAGACTCGTGAAGATATGGCTGCAATCATTTTCAAAAGGAGCAAAAATCAGTGAGGCAAAATCACTTTTTTCCCTTGTGCAATGGAAACATGGATAAGTAGGCAACAGCTTTGCAAAACAGATTCTACATGTTCTATAACACAATACTAACATGTTCACACAATAATGCAATTACAGCCGGTTTGTTAGGTAAATGATTTGACTGACATATATTAACTTGTTAGAAACTTATTCATACAAATTTGACTGACTTATAAAGTTATTTAAGAAAATCAGCATCCCTATATAGTTTAGTATACACAACTTATAAATCTCAGGTTGGTATGATTTGTTACATCCAAGCACTTGAGAAATAAAGATTTTCACATAACAAACGCCATTCTTAAAGGCCACAAAAAATAACTCTCTTCCCGAAGTAACCTCATGGTTGCAGAACTTCCACATTTTGTATCAGACTGATGAAAAGTGCACATTTTTACTGGTACTCTCAGAACATACCTTACGGCTTTTGACAAGTTTGTTTTGAGCCTCCAGCTTTGCACGTGACTGTCGCCTTCTCAGTATTCCATGGTATTGTTTTGCATTGACATAAATGGGCCCATCTTCTGCAAGATCAAGTGGCAATGCAACTCTAGTAGATGTGAGCCCCAGCAGTTGGGGAACAATTTGGGGTTGATTCTGGTAAAATTAATAACAAAATCAAACTCCAAGTATTAACACATTAAAGGACTGCAAGATAAAATTTTCACAAACAAAAGCAAAGTGACGTAAATTACTTGGTGATATTATAACCATGCAAAAATCCTAAAGATGTATTGAACAGAACTTACAATAGCCTGTGATCCATACGATACTAAAGAGCCACCATAAAAAGGATCACCATACGGATAAGGAACACGAGCCTGAGATGGGATGACAAGTTGTTAATGACTTAATGAACAAGCAAGAAATCAATGAACAGTAATTTCACCTACCATTGAGTGACTAGAATCAAGGTGTGAACAATTGACGTCAGTATCAGTATGATTCAATGACAGAAATGGCTTCATTGAGCTTTCCACTAACCATTACAAAGATCTTGACCAGTAAAAATAGATTCATGTTAGATCAGGCTAGAGGCAAAGTGATGCACGGAATATCGTTACTTTAAAACAAAAAGTTTATTATGTGCTTGACAGGTAAGGGCAACAACACAGAAGACTGCATCGAACATGAGTTCCTACACCTAAAATCAGTTTAAATCAAGCGTGGAATGATAGATTGAGGAGTCACCAAAAACAAGTAATTGCCAGCAACTGGTCTCTACCTCTTGCCCTCTCTCTAATCCTTAGCAACAAAAAGGAATAAAATTTTATTTAATGTGAAGCCATAGAGACAAGCGCATCCCTATTCAGTAACAAATAGGACAGTTTTTCTTCTACTCTAATCAAATATACATTTCCTCTACCAAATGCACCAAAGAACAGCAAAAAGGATACTCCATATGGAGATGTGGCAGAAGTTTAAACTCAATTGGACAGCTGTTTCTGGATGAGAACATATGACACCCAATTAGGGAAAAAGGTCTTTGTGAGCTTTATGAATATACGACAAAACCTCATAGGAAGTCTTGTATTTCCTTTCAAGGAGGGAATTCTCTCTAACTGGGAATGAGAAAATTGATGAGGGAACTTAGATGAATACTCATCAGAAGGATCAGCAATGAAATTCTAGCATAAGAAGAAAAAACTCAGAGCAAAAGGGATTCAGCCATTGATGTTTCCTACTATTCAGGTATATACAAATAAAAATTCCAAGAAATATTGGTCATACCCATGCTATAGAAGTTGCGGATGTGGGAAATGATTTGGTGAAAAAACTTGAATATGAAGTGACAGTAGATTTGGCATTCTGCATGTCACATAACTATCTCTAGCTAGAGAAAACGCATCCAAACAGGAATTCATGGAAAGTACGAAAATCAAAGATGACTATAAGCTACATCCAGACCCATAAGAGCTTTCTATATTCAAATTTCAATACCAAGATCAAAGAATCAAATACGACTAAGTCATGGAAGGTACAAACATGAACGAAAGAAAGGTCAGAAATTCTTGAACGCTAACCAAGTTGCCATGGAAAGTCAAAACATTATGGATTCTGTTATATAGCTGCTTGTTTATGTAACAAAACATACAAGCTTACATATAAAAAATCAGATATTGGTGAAGTCAGAGCATTAACTATGGAAGTTAAAGTACGTATTTAATCTAAACTTGAATCTGAAATCTGAAGAATTTCAAAAGTCCCAGCAAATGCAGAAGTCTAATGTTTCTTATTTTTGGAATTTAGAACAATTTGCAGGTATGCGGATTCCCCACATGATCACCATTAACAAATGTTGTATGGTGATGTTGAACATTAAAAAGTAAAATACAGCAACATCAGAAGATATTAAACATATCAAAGGATTTTCAAGATGGCCTATTACTTACCATGTGTTGGGTACAAAGAATACAGTGTTACAGCCTTTGATTCTTGAAACCTCCAATCAAGTTCTACAAAAAGAACACATCCCCAGAAACTTAAACACAATGAAAACTGCAGAAAGACGTACTCTTATGGAGGACATAAAATTATTGTGCCAGATATTGGCCCCAGAAGATTATCAACATTTCTAACTGTGGTAAATGGAAGCAACCAAGTCTCCAGTTATGAGCTAGCATTCAAAAGATTCCAAGAACAAATTTTTTTCAAGTTTCCCTCTTTCATCATTCAGAAATGAACTAGGAGACTAAAATAGAAAGAGATGCCTTTACAGACAATGTACAACATATGAAATCCGTATAGAACATAAACCTCTGTGATATAATACAAAAGCAATAAATCAATCATCACAACAGAGCATCAAATCGATCGCAACATCCCATTTCATATACCGCTAAAGTATCTGAATATCGTCGTTTTATACTAATGAAGCACTCTGAGACCTACGAATCCCAAATCCAAAATGCAAGGATTGACCATAAAAGTCAAACATGGTTGTAATCATGAGATCACCAAAAAATCAGAACACCCTAAGAAAGGGAAAAATATGAAAGAAAAAACTCTCAAATGGCAGATCAAAATCCCATCTTCTTCAGAGAAGATCAACAGAACAACGACAGTAACAACTTTAACTTAACAATAAAATTTTCAGACACCTAAACAACATCAGCTGACCTTAAGCTTCACATGCAAACGGTAAACAACAATCATAAGCCTAACCTTTCGGATCCCATGTATATGTTATTCACAAATAACTGGAGAAGAGAGAAAAAGACAAAGCACAGACACCCACAATGCATGTAAAAGGAATAGAAAGTTTAAAAAAATACTAAGAAAAAAGAAACAAAAAGTAAAAGAGATATAAAGGGAAGAATAAAAAAGAAGAGGCCATGAAGCAACGGAAAAGGTGACCAGTGTGGGAAGAGGATATGATACGAGGCAGGATGAAGATACAGATATAGAGAAAGAGAGAGAGAGAGAGAGGATGAGAAATATACCTTTGGGATCTGGTTAGTGGTGGAATGAAGAAGCAAGAAATAGTGCTGCTGGGTTGAGCTTGGGCATGTCTCCTCCGTTGAAACCCTCACTAGCCCCAAAGCCAATATCTCTTTCTCTCTCACACACACACAAACAGAAGCTTTCACTCTTGTTTCTCTCTGATGAGTCTTTGGGTTTGCTGAACTTACTCACTCAGCCTATAAATACTGCCAATGAGGAGATCACACAAAACCCACCAGCAACAGGTCCACCATTGTCACCACCTCTCTCTCTTTCCTCCACCTGGTTTCTTTATAATTTTTTAATGACTAAAATTTCATAGTATTACTTTATTTTTTTCTCAACTTAGAAAAACGCGCACAAACGTATTCATTATATTAACGTGCCTTGGTTGATAGGCGTTGATGAAAAAGGAATGCTGCCGGTTAAAAGAAAAAAAACAGATATGCTCATATTTTTATATTAAAAACAATAATATAATATAATTAATATTACATATATAAATTAAATTTCTCTGGACAAAATACAAATTAGATTCCTTTGTTTATAAAATCTAAGTACACAAAAAACGTTAACACCAACTAAATTTCAAAAGTAAAACTTCGTTTAATCATATGCGTGATGTTGTTATTGAAATATTAAAGAAACTAATTAAATTATTTATTTATAATAAATAAGTATTATTTTTTAAAATATTCTTATTAATTAGGTGTATTTATTAAAACTATTATTATTACAAAAATTATCTTAAAAAATAAATAAATATAATATACCAAATAGATTAAAATATAATATTTATGATTAAAATAAAAGTCAGATTTTATATTAAGAACTGACTGTAGTAGTTAATAAATACAAGTTAAATTCTTAAAGTTATTGAATTGCATATTTAAAAATTTTTTTACTGAGGGTCTCTTTCTTATGGGCCCACAACCAACCTTCCTCAACCCTTGGGTCTAGAGCCTTCGTTTTCTTCACTCTGCTCCAGCCGCCCTTGACTGTTCACTCTTTACCCACCTTCCAATCCTATGCGTGAAGTTCAGACGGAGTCAACTCGCTGCTTTTACCGTCCGATTCATCCTCTCAATGAACAACTTTTTCACGCGCGTCTGGCGAGTCGGGAAGGTCCCTGTGGGCATTGGATAAAACCACGAGATGTCTTGAGTTTCTTACAATTTAACCATATTAGCTGCTTTAATTCCGAAAACGTCCCGCCACCTTCGTATTCGTCTCTGTGTGTGACACGTGGTTGAGAATATCGAAATACCCATTTTGCCCTTGGCTTTTGTTGTTAATTACTGGATTTATGGTTGTCCTCGGAATCTTTAAAGTTTAAACTATTGTACGGACTAATGTGAACCTTGGGATTGTGGGTGACAAGCGAAGACCTAGGGATGACCAAAACAAACCCTTTTCCTTTTTCTTCCTTTTGGATTTTTCCTACCCACACGCTATCATTTTACTCTTTTAATTTCATTCACAAGATGCTTTTCGAATATTTTTCTGAAATTAAGAAAAAAAATTTTGACGCCACTAACTCTGTCTTAATTTCACTTCTCTTTAACATATATATATATTCTTGAAAGTAATCATTACCCCCAAAACAATAAAGTGTTGAGGTTGATTAAGTATTTCCTCATGTCGGCCAGATGCTGTGATCCATTCAGTTCTAAATATAAGACTTATTTTGTAATATAATTTACACTATAAAATAGATTATTACATTACAAAATAGGTCTTATATTTAGAATCAGAAGAATAATTTATTTAGTATCTATGTTTAATTTTTTAAGTAAATCCAACAACTTAAAATATTTTATAATTTATTTAGTACTTTGAAATATTTTTTTAAATGCATCTAAAATATTGAAACAAATATCTTGGAATATTTGGTGGACATTTATTTAATGGACTTATTGAAAAGTCAATAATAAAGTTAAAATTACTTTTGAAAAAAATACTTCCGAGACATAATTGCACAAAAAACATTAATATTTTAATGGCAAAATTTCACCCCCAAATATCTTAGTGTTAAATGCATATGAAAAAATATTTTAAAAGTATTAGATGTATTGCAAAATACCTAATAGACATACCTTAACCTAAATAATAAATTAGAGGTAATTTATATTATAAATTTAATAACATGACTTACATTAAAAACAAAAAATATTCCTCTACTTTGTAAATGAAATTAAAGGAGCATGCAAATAAAAATTTTGATGAATTGAATTGAAATTTTATTAGGGGTCTCCTAACTTAAAAACGAGAGCGATAAAAATATTTAATAAAAGTGGGATTCAAGCTTCTTACTCTCGTTTTGATTAATTTTGGTGATAAAATATTTTAATTTTTTTTCCTCAACCTAATGATGTAAAGCGTTCATATTGGATAGCACTTGGTAATATAATAGCGCGTCAAGCTTATCTCATGTGGAGTAATCCAATGCTTTAGACTATTTTATTAACTCTTATCATAATAGGATTCTAAGATATTTTAATAATGTTTTCAAATATTTAACCCATTTGCATTTAGTGGATGTGTACGTGAATTGACTTTGATGATTTAAAATAAAACAAATGGTATCTTTAACCCGGTTTAACCTTTTTTTTGCCCACTAACTCGGGTTAATTATAATTATAATCTTATAAAATATAATAAGCAATTTTCCAGAGGCAAGAAGCCGATTCTTATCACTTGATTGATTTGGTTGAGAAATTTCTTTAATTTTTTTTTCAAATAGTAGGGCTAAGATAATTTTTTTTCCCAAATATTTAACACTTTTACATTTAGGGTCGGTTTACATGAAGTGAAAACAGTATTTTTATTTCGGTTTATTCACAATCATTATAAAATATAATATAATAAGAAATTTTTGTTATTTTAAGAGAAGCATAGAACATCATCATCTTTTTTAATCTGATCTTATCACAGTGGATGTTAGGTGAGACACATGATAAAAAATAAAAATGATAGATACTTTTATGAGTGAAAATAATTTTTGTAAATTTGAAATTAATAAAATTAAATAATAGATATAATAGTTTTTACAGCACGACTAAATTTTAATTTTATCATAATTAATTTGAGTAATAATACTCAAATTTAAGCTGAAATTACTAAATACTCCCTCCAATCCTAATCTTAAATATTTCGCTTTGTCTCACAAAATAATACAATCTTTTTTCCAAACAATTTATCAATTACATTTATTACACAATTTTTCATATGGTTTTCAATATAAATTACTAAAGAGAATGTTTTGAGAAAATTAACACAAGTTTAAAATAACTAACTTAATTAAGAAGCATTAAATAGTTTTAAGGTAAAAAATTGTTTTACTTTCCATCTCTTTCCATTCCATCTTATTTTAGGTAGCAAACAAGCCAGATTCTTTCATTAAATATAGAAATCGTAAAGTAATATCCAAAAAAAAGGGGTGAGGATAAGAGTGACACTAATTAGCAGATTGGAAGGAATCTATAACAAAGTTAAATAAAGAGATTAAGAAATGGGTTAGTACAAGAATGTCGGTTGTCACAAAGCTAAACAAACGAGGCTAGATTAGCAGATTAGCAAAATATAATCATTGATCAATTCTTTATCCCAAAGCACATGAAAATGAAAAGATAAACGCAACAGATGTTCACATTGGGAATCAATTAGAACATCGGATTATAATTTGAAGCCAATTAAATAAGTCTGTGGCTTTTTCAGTTTTGATATTTTTTAATGGTGCTTTTGTCTGCCTTTTCTGCTCCTCTGTTCTATACTTTTTTTCCTTTTGGGAAAAAAAAATCTGTGGTCTTATCTTTGTTCATATTTTGGTTTTCTTTTTGTGAAGAAACATATTACTTCAATCTGTCAATTAGGATTCTTTGCTCCGGCAAATAGATACACATTATCCATGTTTTATTCAATTCTTTGGCCAAAATAACTTTCAAAATATCTATGGATAGTAATCTATATATTTTTAATACTCCTCCGGTCCTTAATATAAGACCCAATTCTTGAGTTGGTTTTGGTCCTAAATATAAGACTCATTTATCATATTTATCAATTTTCTCTAAATTACCCCTCTAGATACTCTCTCAACCATAATCAAGTAGAAGAGGGAGAGGGGGTATTAAGAAAGATGATTATGGTATTTTGGAAAAAATGTGTCACTTTTCTTATAATTAACTAACTTACCTAACTTCCTTAATCTAATCAAATTAGTTAAATGGGTCTTATATTAAGAACCGGAGGAGTAACATATTTCAAATTTAAATCACAAAAAATATTTTGAATTATTAGTGCAACCTTTAGTTTCCTAATTTTAAGAACAAAAATTCATTTCATATGGAAAAATAGCCATTCAGCTGACACAAGACACTATCACAATCATAATAATATTAACAGAAGTGGGAAAAAAAATAAATGAAACAATAGAGTTAACAAAATTCTTGTCATCCAAATCTACATGGAATTATCAAACTAGGACCTTAATTACTCTTTTTTTTCGTTTTACTTTTTCTGATTCGGCATTCCCTAAGAGAATAACTAAAGGCTAAAGCAGGCTAGGCTGGCTTTTCTCACCTCTGCAGCCCATACCACCAGCTCCTTCTCAAAGCAATATGGTGGAAGCAAGCTGGATTATGGCTTCTTCTGAAATAATGACAAGGCCAAAAAATAAAAAAGAATCTTTTCAGAGGAATAAAAAGAAGCAACTGAAATATGTACAATTAGAAATTCTTGGATAATGATGTCAATAAAAAATATGTATATGAGCCCCAAGAATAATTTCATAGACATGCAAAACTACTGAAGAGTCCAGAGGCCAACAAAACCAGTTTAACCAAAGATTCTGATTAGCGTGCTTCAGCCAAATACTTAATAGCACCAGATATTAAAATTATAATAACAAGCTGATTTTAACATAGATTTGTCATCTAAATCACGTCAGTAATGCCATAGGAGTTGAAACTGTCATGTTATATTAAAGCCAAAGCCTAAAATTCAAATGCTAGAAAGTCCAGGGAGTAACTCACAATGCGAATCTACAGCTTCAAGTTGATCTTTTCAGACCATTCGAAGATCTCTGAGTACACTTTATCTCCGCCTAAGTCCTCACCAGTGGCTCCTGCCGCTACTCTTATAATATCTTCAAGTAATGCAAAGTTCCCCAATATATCAACATGATTGC